TGAGGGTAGTGTTGGTTTAGTGACACTGTAGTGTTTGTTGAGTGGCACTGCAGTGTTTGTTGAGTGTAGTGTTGGTTGGGTGTAGTGTTGGTTGAGTGGCACTGCAGTGTTGGTTAAGTGTAATGTTGGTTGAGTGTAGTGTTGGTTGAGTGTTGAGTTGGTTTTAGTGACACTGTATTGTTGGTTGGGTGTAGTGTTGGTTGAGTGACACTGTAGTGTTGGTTGAGTGACACTGTAGTGTTGGTTGAGTGTAGTGTTGGTTGAGTGTAGTGTTGGTTGATTGACACTGTACAGCTTTGTATTTTTTACCATAATATTCCAGAATTGTCATTTGACATAGTTTACAATATGTTTCCCAAACTTTGACCCTGTGTAAACACATACCTCCATTAAATCTCCACGTTGGAAGAGAAGCGAGGAGTGTGAGTGACGTGTCACTGTGAATCTTGCACCTGACCCACTAGAGTAGTTAATACATAGTTTGACAGTCATATTTTAATTCAATGAGAAGCCCGTCTGACTATAACAAAATTCTTCTTTCGAACATTTTGCAACAGAAAAATTAAACTAAACACATTGTGGGAAGGGATTCGGGGTACTGACTGTACTGTTGTATTGAACATAGCTGTTTGGGTACTGACTGTAGTTTGGTTTGTTGTGGGAACTGACTGTATAGTGTTGTGTTGTGGGTACTGACTGCATTGTGGTGTGTTGTGGGTACTGACTGCATTGTGGTGCGTTGTGGGTACTGACTGTCACCGGACCGTATTAGAAAACGACCTACCAGGCACGACTGCACCGGACCGTATTGCGGACGACCCCAGCCAGGTATGACCGACCGTATCAGGCGGATAAAATAACGGACCGGCACCGATCGTATTGCGGGTAACCCGGACCGTATCGGTGGTCAAAATCGACCGTACTTGCGGCATTGACCGGTATCAGGAAAACGGAAGCACCGACCGTATAGTGGTAACGGACCGTATAACGGACCGAACCGAACACCGACCGGAAGGACCGGAAGCGGACCGAATAACGGACCGGACTGTAACTGTGGAACGGTGGCCCGGACCGTATCAGGCACCGGACCGTATTGCGGTGCCAGGGTACCGGACCGGCACCGGATCTCGTAGTGGTGGCACCGACCGGAAGAAAATTGACCAGCAACCGATCCGTATCAGGTGCGGCCATAACGGACCCGGAATAACGACCGGTAATAACGGACCAGTGCCGGACCGTATTGAAGAAATACCCGACCGGTACCGGTGGAACGGTGGACACCGACCGAAGAAGAACGGACCGTAATGACCGTACAGTGGTACCGACCGTAGTGGATGGCCAGTGTAACGGACCGTAAAACCGAGTCCTGACCGTACCGGACGTGGCACCGGACCGGCACCAGATGCGGGTAACGACCAGTACCAGATGTAACTGACCGGTACCAGAAACGCCAGTACCGGACCGGAAGAAACGGACCGTAATACGGACCGTATTGCACCCGGATCGTGGCACCGACCGTAATAACCGACCACAGGATCCAGACCAGGAACTGAAAATAACGGACCGGAAAACGAACTGGCACCCGGACAGCGACCGGACCGTAGCGGACGGATTGACCGTGGTAGTACCGGACGGAAATGGACGAAAACGGACAGCGGTAACGGACTGACAACGGACCGGTATTGCAATACCGTAAAATCGATCCCCGAACGGACCGTATTGCGCTGGATCGGACCGCATTGAAGTAAATAACGGATAGAAGGAATAACGGACCAATACCAGGCCAGGCACCACCACCGGACCTGTATCGACACCGGACCAAATCGTGCTGGCACCGATCGTAACGGACCGGCACTGGTGGTACCGGACCGTATCGAACCAGGACCACCGTATCGTGCTGGCTGGATAACGGACCGTAGTGGTGGAACGGACCGGACCGGCCGAAAATCCGAAGACCGGACTGTAGCACCGACCGTATTTGAAGAATGGACCCCGACAGTGGCACCTGACCAGTGGCACCGGATCGCCAGGCCTGTGGGTGGCACCGGACCGGCACCCGTGACCCACAACGACCAGCCAAACACCGGACGCCAGGAACTGGACTGTACAGGAACCGGACTGTATTGAAGAAAATGGACCGGAACTGTGACCAAAATCACAGAAGAAAGAAAACACCGAATCTGAATAATGAAGAAAGGGCACCGGTATTTGAGGAAGAAAATGGACAGGCAGGGTGGATCGCCACGGACTGCACCTGACCAGTGAACACCAATGTGGTGGAATGGACTGTAATGGGAAACGAAAGAAAGAAAATGGATCAGTCAAAGGAAGGAGGGCAATTGACCGAACACCAGGAATGGACTGAAATACGGATCAGGACCACAGGCTGGCTGGAAAACGACCAGTGGTGGTGGCACCGACTGTAATATGAAAATCGGACTGGAAGCACCGGACCCCAGAAACGGACTGGTAGTGGAAGGAATGGAATGGAAGAATGGACCACACCGGACTGTAGTGGCACGGACGTTACAGGAAAAGGGCACCGGAAGAACGGACTGACAACGGAATGGAAGAATGGACTGGACACAAACAGGCACTGACTGTGGACTGGACTGGTAGTGTGGTGGAATGGAAGAAATGGACCAGTGTGGGGGGTGGAGCAGGACTGAATGTGGTGGGGAATGGACTGGCTGAAGAAACAGGGAATGGATCAGGAAGAATGAAGAATGGACCAGGAATGGATCTCAGTGGCACTGGAATGGAAGAATTGGACCGTATTGAAAGAAATAAATTGGACTGTAGTGTGGTAACACAAACATAGGAAAAGCAGGGAATTGACTGTAGTGAAGGGAATGGAAGAAAGCAGGGAATGGACTGAATTGTGGGAATGGCATGAAGAAATCAGGGAAAATGGACTGGAATGGATCATTGTGGCACTGGATCAGGGAAGGAATGGATCTGTAGTGGTGGCCAGGGGAATGGATCAGGAATGGATCAGAAGAATGGACCAGTGGAATGGATCAGGGTAACTGGAACTGTAGTTGTGGGTGACTGTGTGGGTACTGACTGTAGTTGTGGTGACTGTAGTGTGGTGTGTTGTGGGTACTGACTGTAGTGTGGTGTGTTGTGGGTACTGACTGGGTACTGACTGTAGTGTGGTGCGTTGTGGGTACTGACTGTAGTGTGTAGTGTGGGGTGTTGTGGGTACTGACTGTACTGTGTGGTGTGTTGTGGGTACTGACTGTACTGTGGTGTGTTGTGGGTACTGACTGTATTGTGTGTGTGTTGTGGGTACTGACTGTAGTGTGGTGTGTTGTGGGTACTGACTGTACTGTGGGGTGTTGTGGGTACTGACTGTAGTGTGGTGTGTTGTGGGTACTGACTGTAGTGTGGTGTGTTGTGGGTACTGACTGTATTGTGGTGTGTTGTGGGTACTGACTGTAGTGTGGTGTGTTGTGGGTACTGACTGTAGTGTGGTGTGTTGTGGGTACTGACTGTAGTGTGGTGTGTTGTGGGTACTGACTGTATTGTTGTGGTGTGCTGTGGGTACTGACTGTAGTGTGGTGTGTTGTGGGTACTGACTGTAGTGTGGTGCATTGTGGGTACTGACTGTAGTGTGATGTGTTGTGGGTACTGACTGTAGTGTGATGTGTTGTGGGTACCGACCGACTGTATTGTGGTGTGTTGTGGGTACTGACTGTAGTGTGGGGTGTTGTGGGTACTGACTGTAGTGTGGTGTGTTGTGGGTACTGACTGTAGTGTGGTGTGTTGTGGGTACTGACTGTATTGTTGTGTGTTGTGGGTACTGACTGTAGTGTGGTGTGTTGTGGGTACTGACTGTAGTGTGGTGTGTTGTGGGTACTGACTGTAGTGTGGTGTGTTGTGGGTACTGACTGTAGTGTGGTGTGTTGTGGGTACCGACCGCACTGTACTGTGGTGTGTTGTGGGTACTGACTGGTGTGTTTGTGTACTGACTACTGTGGTACTGTGTGTGGTGTGTTGTGGGTACTGACTGTAGTGTGGTGTGTTGTGGGTACTGACTGTAGTGTGGGGTGTTGTGGGTACTGACTGTAGTGTGGTGTGTTGTGGGTACTGACTGTAGTGTGGGGTGTTGTGGGTACTGACTGTGTGGTGTGTTGTGGGTACTGACTGTAGTGTGTGTGTGTTGTGGGTACTGACTGTAGTGTGATGTGTTGTGGGTACCGACCGCACCGTACTGTGGTGTTTTGTGGGTACTGACTGTACTGTGGTGTTTTGTGGGTACTGACTGTAGTGTGGTGTGTTGTGGGTACTGACTGTAGTGTGTGTGTGTTGTGTTGTGGGTACTGACTGTACTGTGGTGTGTTGTGGGTACTGACTGTAGTGTGGTGTTTGTGGGTACTGACTGTAGTGTGGTGTGTTGTGGGTACTGACTGTAGTGTGATGTGTTGTGGGTACCGACCGCACCGTACTGTGGTGTTTTGTGGGTACTGACTGTACTGTGTGGTTTTTGGGTACTGACTGTAGTGTGGTGTGTTGTGGGTACTGACTGTAGTGTGGGGTGTTGTGGGTACTGACTGTAGTGTGGGGTGTTGTGGGTACTGACTGTAGTGTGATGTGTTGTGGGTACCGACCGCACCGTACTGTGGTGTTTTGTGGGTATTGACCGTACTGTGGTGTTTTGTGGGTACTGACTGTACTAGAGCGTTGAGCATTGGTGTTTTGAGTAATGGACCTCGCCATCTTGAATTAAGTTCCCTCAATAACTGGGTAGTTGCTAGATTCAGATGTGGATGACGAATCAAAATTGGTAGAGACACCAAACTGCTCTAAAACTATTTCTTATCGGTTAGGTACGTACTCTAAAAACCTGAACAACTTGAAATAAGGAGATGTGAAATGAAATATGTTTAAGTTTTATGATATTATTAACCTGTAGTGACGTGGCAATGGAAAACACGCACCTGCTCACTGTAGACCTTATATATGACCATCCACGGTGTGGTTTATGGTATATCAGAATGAAGACTCTACTGGTTCTTTGTCTCGGTGTTGCTGTGGTGGGTAAGTCCTTAGGTGTATAGTTTATACTGGTGTAATATCCCCAGGCTAGCTGGTGAAGGTAAGTCCTTAGCTGCATAGTGTATACTGGTGTAATATCCCCAGGCTAGCTGGTGAAGGTAAGTCCTTAGCTGCATAGTGTATACTGGTGTAATATCCCCATGCTAGCTGGTGAAGGTAAGTAAAGAGCTGTATAGTGTATACTGGTGTAATATCCCCATGCTAGCTGGTGAAGGTAAGTAAAGAGCTGTATAGTGTATACTGGTGTAATATCCCCATGCTAGCTGGTGAAGGTAAGTAAAGAGCTGTATAGTGTATACTGGTGTAATATCCCCATGCTAGCTGGTGAAGGTAAGTAAAGAGCTGTATAGTGTATACTGGTGTAATATCCCCATGCTAGCTGGTGAAGGTAAGTAAAGAGCTGTATAGTGTATACGTGAATGCTGTTGTAATCTTCCACAGCACGTGAAGGCTGTTGTAATCTTCCACAGCACGTGTTTGCTGTTGTGATCGTCCACAGCACGTGTTTGCTGTTGTGTTCTTCCACAGCACGTGAAGGCTGTTGTGATCTTTCACAGCACGTGAAGGCTGTTGTGATCTTCCACAGCACGTGAAGACTGTTGTGATCTTCCACAGCACGTGAAGACTGTTGTGACATTGTTGATGCATACAACACAAACACTTTGGATTCGACTGACATTTTATGGGCTGTGTTCAGCCATACTCTTAAAGGAGTTATCAGTTTTCCTTCTCCCATACCCAACCTCCAACCCCCCACCACCTCCCGCTCCCCCAGCACGCTCACCATTCCTTCTCCCATACCCAACCTCCAACCCTCCATCTTTCCCACTCCCCTAACACGCTCACCATTCCTTCTCCCGTACCCAACCACCAACCCTCCACCACCTCCCGCTCCCCAAGCACGCTCACCATTCCTTCTCCCGTACCCAACCTCCAACCCTCCACCGCCTCCCCTGCTCCCCAGCACGCTCACCATTCCTTCTCCTGTACCCAACCTCCAACCCCCACCACCTCCCTGCTCCCCCAGCACGCTCACATTCCTTCTCTCCTGTACCCAACCTCCAACCCCCACCACCTCCCTGCTCCCCAGCACGCTCACCATTCCTTCTCCCGTACCCAACCTCCAACCCTCCACCACCTCCTGCTCCCCAAGCACGCTCACGATTCCTTCTCCTGTACCCAACCTCCAACCCCCACCACCTCCCGCTCCCCAGCACGCTCACCATTCCTTCTCCCATACCCAACCACCAACCCTCCACCTCCTCCCGCTGCCCTAACACGCTCACCATTCCTTCTCCCGTACCCAACCACCAACCCTACACCGCCTCCCGCTCCCCAAGCACGCTCACCATTCCTTCTCCCATACCCAATCTCCAACCCTCCACCGCCTCCCGCTCCCCCAGCACGCTCACCATTCCTTCTCCCATACCCAACCTCCAACCCTCCACCGCCTCCCGCTCCCCCAGCACGCTCACCATTCCTTCTCCCATACCCAACCACCAACCCTCCACCGCCTCCCGCTCCCCCAACACGCTCACCATTCCTTCTCCCATACCCAACCTCCAACCCCCACCACCTCCCGCTCCCCCAGCACGCTCACCATTCTTTCTCCCGTACCCAACCACCAACCCTCCACCTCCTCCCGCTGCCCTAACACGCTCACCATTCCTTCTCCCATACCCAACCACCAACCCTCCACCTCCTCCCGCTGCCCTAACACGCTCACCATTCCTTCTCTCCTGTACCCAACCACCAACCCTACACCGCCTCCCGCTCCCCAAGCACGCTCACCATTCCTTCTCCCATACCCAATCTCCAACCCTCCACCGCCTCCCGCTCCCCCAGCACGCTCACCATTCCTTCTCCCATACCCAACCTCCAACCCTCCACCGCCTCCCGCTCGCCCAGCACGCTCACCATTCCTTCTCCCATACCCAACCACCAACCCTCCACCGCCTCCTGCTCCCCCAACACGCTCACCATTCCTTCTCCCGTACCCCACCTCCATCCCTCCACCGTCTCCCGCTCCCCCGACACGCTCACCATTCCTTCTCCCGTACCCCACCTCCATCCCTTCACCGTCTCCCGCTTCCCCGACACGCTCACCATTCCTTCTCATGCTTTTTTCTTCCTCTCCCGTGCCCCTTACCTCCTTTCCCGTACCCCCACCTCAACTCCAGCAACTTCCCCATCCTGCTAACCATCCCCATCCCGCCAACGAGATATACCGGGTTTAATGATGTTAATAGATTTTGAAAAGCTTTCGACACAGTTTCTAAAGATTTGATTTATTCTGTCTTATTAAGATTTGGTTTCGGTCCAGGGATTATACGCTGCATTAATTTGTTAACGTATGATACAACCTCATGTGCTATTCAGAACGGAAATCTCTCTGATTTCTTTCCTAATGAGCGAGTTGCAGGCAAGGTGATCCATTATCACCATATTTTTGTTTTTTGTGGCTAAAATCCTTGGATGTATGATGAGCCAAAATAATAAAATGAAAGGTATTGCAATCGGTGAGCAAGAATACGCGTCAGGCCAATATGCTGATGATACAGAGTTATGTTTGGATGGCTCAGGGGATAGTCTATATGCTGCAATTGATACAATGAATACTTTCCACAATATGTCGGGGTTAAAAATAAATATAGATAAGACTAAGGCAATCTTAAAGCTGGAGGCAGAGACATACTTTGTCAAGACGAATATAGAATGGCAAAGAAATGAATTCGAAGTTTTAGGAATTAAATTTACTCCTGACTTAAAGGATCTGTGGGTTATCAACACAAGAAAAGGACTGAAAGACAGTAATAGATTACTAGCGACATGGAGAAACAGACAATTGGCATTGCTTGGCAAAAATACTGTTATTAAAACATTGGCTCTTTCAAAACTGGTGCATATGTTTAATACTTTACGTAAACCACCAGATGAATTTATTATTTCCCTAGAGAGAATATGTTTCAGATTTATTATTTCCCTAGAGAGAATATGTTTCAGATTTATTATTTCCCTAGAGAGAATATGTTTCAGATTTATTATTTCCCTAGAGAGAATATTTATTATTTCCCTAGAGAATATGTTTCAGAATATGTTTCCAGATTTATTATTTCCCTAGAGAGAATATGTTTCAGATTTATTATTTCCTTAGAGAGAATATGTTTCAGATTTATTATTTCCCTAGAGAGAATATGTTTCAGATTTATTATTTCCCTAGAGAGAATATGTTTCAGATTTATTATTTCCCTAGAGAGAATATGTTTCAGATTTATTATTTCCCTAGAGAGAATATGTTTCAGATTTATTATTTCCCTAGAGAGAATATGTTTCAGATTTATTATTTCCCTAGAGAGAATATGTTTCAGATTTATTTGGGATAATAAAATTGACAAAATCAGACGGAGCTTTTTGAAAAAAAGGTTATAAAGAAGGAGGTTTACGCTTGATAGATATCAAAACCTTTGTTATTGCCATGAAACTATCCATACTCAGACTATATGTCAGAAAAGCAAATGTAAGTAATCCATGCAATTTTCATTAAAAGATATATTAAAGTATGGCGCAAATTTGTAGAATATTGTTGAAATTGAAAATCCTTTTTGGAGGAATGTCTGGAAGGCATGGAAATCATATTGTACTAAAAACACCATTGAAGATGATAACATAAATGTAATCTTATCCGAACCCATGTGGCTCGATCATAACTTTAAAAACCCAAACCACTTCACTGAGCTCACAAATGAATTTGAATTATTTAGGACTTGTATGATGAACCAGGTTTGGTCTCTTTTGAAGATCTGCGAACTACATATGGGATAAGGAGTATATATTTAGATCTTGAATATATTTTATATATTTAACATGAATCATGTGAAAAGACCTTAAAAGGCTACAGATATATGACCTTAATATAAACTCGTTACATGAAGATTTCATGACTTCAGCTAAAGGTTCAAGCAAAGGTAAAAATAAATTGCTGTCTGATAGTGTTTTCTCACATATCTGCCACAAATAGGAACATTTCTTCACATATATTGATTTTGAATGGCCCTTGATCTTTAATCTATATAGAAAAAATATAAAAGATGTTAAACTTTTAGATTTTAAATCTACATTTTTGCATGGAATTGTTTATACAAAAAAAATAACTGGATGAAACTAGTTGATAGTTTGATATGTACTTTCTGTAATGAAGCGGATAAAAGCATATATCATATATATATATTGGGGATGTGAGGACAAAAGTTGGACTGAACTTCAAATTTGGATTGATCAAAACATACAGGAATTGCAACTGACAAAATTTCACGTTTGGTTTGGTACTCTAAGTACTAACCCACTACTTTATCATGCAATACTTTCTGCTAAAAGGCACAACTATATTTGCACCCTGAAAAACATAATTCCTAATTTATAAAACTTTATAAAGATTTTAAATGACATATTCATGGTTGAAAACTTTATATCCAAAAGATACTGATAAATTCTAAAACAAAATGGTTTCCTCTATTCCCATTATTTGATCCAGAATGACCATTGTTAACGGCTGGAATTCGATGTGCAATATATTTTTAGATACATTTGATGTAGCAGCAATGTATATTCACATACAACTACACATATACTCGAAATTTGTAATGATGGGGGCAATAAAAATAATTTTTTAAAAAGTGTTTGACTTTTCCTTCTTGACCCATCTGTGTTTTTGTACGGACATGTTTGACTTCCCTCTCCGACGAACGTGTGTATGACTTTTTGATTTTTGTTTCTGCAGGTGCCGACGTTGCCTCGCACATTGTCGGGGGCACAGAGGCAGCTCCTAATACCTGGCAGTGGCAGGGGTCGCTCAGGAAGCTTCGCTCTTCAGGGGAGATAACTCACACCTGCGGCTGCTCTCTACTGAGCTCCCGTTGGGCTTTGACTGCTGCCCACTGCGTGGATGACACGAACTTGTGAGTACAAGAGTGAGATTAGAGCTTAAAATAAATTAAAGTGTTAACAAAACTCACTAGACTTGCCGATTCGATAGGTGACTAAGGTACTTTAGCGACGCCAAACCCAGAGTATTTGTCTGAGAATTTTGCCCTCATATGTTCATATTTTGAAATATTCCAGCATAATTTTGATCATTCATTATATCGCATACAATGCCCGCGCATAGTACATGGCCAGTAAACAAGCCAGTAAATATGCGGCGAGAAGTAAACACCCAAGTAGTTTCATGTGTGTTTTATCTATTGAATGTACGGATGACGAAAGTACAGTGTTGACTGCTGCCCTTTGACCAGATGGTCTTATTGTGCAGGTAGAGGAAGAAAGTAATCATAATCATTACTCGGACCTGGATCACATTTGCCACGGGCGCCGTATGATAAAGTAATCTACGGTTTTCAGTACGATGTTTTGTGCTCACATTGTCTACGGGCACCGTGCGATTTCCGTGGTGACAGGCCGCAGCAAACTTGGATGGAAGCTGCACAGAAGACGTGCGGAGATCGTGCGGTTTCCGAGCGGTCTCCGCAGTTGCTGCATGGACATCGTACTGAGCCCGTGCGGCGTCTCTGGGGAGGCTGAGAGGAGATTGTGCGGTGATCGTGCGGTGCCCGAGCAGTGCCCGTGCGATACCATCTACGGAATACGGGAAACGAGCTTACGATGTTTTCAGACTTGTCAAACTACACTGTTTGACAAAATCGTAGAGGCTACGGCGCCCGTAGATTCGTGCGATAATCGTACGGCCACCGCCACATGGCGACCGCACGGAAATGGAGCTAACGTTTACGGCAGTTTACGGGCGCCGTAACAAGCCATCACAAGCCGAATGTGAACCAGGCATAAATGCCGAACCGACGACACGATTCCACCTGTGTACATGTCTTGTCCAGGAATCACTGTCTAATTGTGATGACACCAGGTGCTCGTGGACAGGGGTGCGCATCTTGTTCCACTGGTAACACCCAGCACAGATACACGCACAGTTATGGCAATGTTTTTGTGCAGGGGTGTCGGCGACTACGAGGTGGTGTTCGGGGCTCACAGTCTCTCAAGCGATAATGGATTCGACCAGAAAGTTGGCGTCTCCAAGTTCGTCATTGTGAGTACAATCACAGATTCTGTTTTGATTGTTATTGGACCTATTTTGCTCAAGTTTAACAATAACGTGTTCAGACTCACGTTCGACGCCAATCTAACATCTTCATATAACCTCTATATTACCTTATCTCACAGCTGTCTCACTTGTATCTGCCCGTATCTCACTATCTCTCATGTATTGTACCTCTGTCGTACCTACATGCACTGTTTCTGTATATCATTAGGGTTTCACCTGTATCTCACCTATATCTTATCCGCTTCTCACCTCTATCTTACCTGTATGCAACCTGTATCTCACCTGTATCTGTCCTGCGAGTTATATGTACTTCACCAGTATCTCACCTATATCTTACCTGTATGCAACCTGTATCTCACCTGTATCTCTACTGCGAGTTATATGTACTTCACCAGTATCTCAACTGTACCTTACATGTATCCAACCACTATCTCACTTGTGTCTCACCTGTATCTGTCCTGCGAGTTATATGTACTTCACCAGTATCTCACCTATATCTTACCTGTATCCCACCTGTATCTCACCTGTATCTGTCCTGCGAGTTATATGTATTTCACCAGTATCTCAACTGAACCTCATCTGTATCCTTCCTAAATCTTACCGGCAATGTACCTATATCCCACGTGTATCCATCTGCATCTTATCTGTATTCAACCTGTATCTGTCCTGCGAGTTATATGTATTTCACCAGTATCTCAACTGAACCTCATCTGTATCTCACCTGTATCTGTCCTGCGAGTTATATGTATGTCACCAGTATCTCACCTGTATCTGTCCTGCGAGTTATATGTATTTCACCAGTATCTCAACTGAACCTCACCTGTATCTCACCTGTATCTGTCCTGTGAGTTATATGTATGTCACCTGTATCTCAACTGAACCTCATCTGTATCTCACCTGTATCTGTCCTGCGAGTTATATGTATGTCACGTGTATCTCAACTGAACCTCATCTGTATCTCACCTGCAGCTGTCCTGCGAGTAATATGTATGTCACCTGTATCTCAACTGAACTTCACCTGTATCCTACCTGTATCTGTCCTGCGGGTTATATGTATGTCACCTGTATCTCAACTGAACCTCATCTGCATCTCACCTGTATCTATGTATCTCACCAGTATCTCAACTGAACCTCACCTGTATCTGTCCTGCGAGTTTTATGTATTTCACCTGTATCTCAACTGAACCTCATCTGTATCTCATCTGTATCTGTCCTGCGAGTTATATGTATTTCACCTGTATCTCAACTGAACCTCACCTGTATCCCACCTGTATGTGTCCTGCGGGTTATATGTATGTCACCTGTATCTCAACTGAACCTCATCTGTTTCTCACCTGTATCTATGTATCTCACCAGTATCTCAACTGAACCTCACCTGTATCTCACCTGTATCTGTCCTGCGAGTTATATGTATTTCACCTGTATCTCAACTGAACCTCATCTGTATCTCACCTGTATCTGTCCTGCGAGTTATATGTATGTCACGTGTATCTCAACTGAACCTCATCTGTATCTCACCTGTATCTATGTATCTCACCAGTATCTCAACTGAACCTCACCTGTATCTCACCTGTATCTGTCCTGCGAGTTATATGTATTTCACCTGTATCTCAACTGAACCTCATCTGTATCTCACCTGTATCTGTCCTGCGAGTTATATGTATTTCACCAGTATCTCAACTGAACCTCACCTTTATCTCACCTGTATCTGTCCTGCGAATTATATGTATTTCACCAGTATCTCAACTGAACCTCATCTGTATCTCATCTGTATCTGTCCTGCGAGTTATATGTATTTCACCAGTATCTCAACTGAACCTCACCTTTATCTCACCTGTATCTGTCCTGCGAGTTATATGTATTTCACCAGTATCTCAACTGAACCTCATCTGTATCTCACCTGTATCTGTCCTGCGAGTTATATGTATTTCACCAGTATTTCACCTGTATCTATCCTGCGAGTTATATGTATTTCACCAGTATCTCAACTGAACCTCATCTGTATCTCACCTGTATCTGTCCTGCAAATTATATGTATGTCACCTGTATCTCAACTGAACCTCATCTGTATCTCACCTGTATCTATGTATCTCACCAGTATCTCAACTGAACCTCACCTGTATCTCACCTGTATCTGTCCTGCGAGTTATATGTATTTCACCTGTATCTCAACTGAACCTCATCTGTATCTCACCTGTATCTGTCTTGCGAGTTATATGTATTTCACCTGTATCTCAACTGAACCTCATCTGTATCCTTCCTAAATCTTACCGGCAATGTACCTATATCCCACGTGTATCCATCTGAATCTTATCTGTATACCACCTGTATCTGTCCTGCGAGTTATATGTATGTCACCAGTATCTCAACTGAACCTCACCTGTATCTCACCTGTATCTATCTTGCGAGTTATATTTATGTCACCAGTATCTCAACTGAACCTCACCCGTATCTGTCCTGCGAGTTATATGTATTTCACCAGTATCTCAACTGAACCTCATCTGTATCCTTCCTAAATCTTACCGGCAATGTACCTATATCCCACGTGTATCCATCTGCATCTTATCTGTATTCCACCTGTATCTGTCCTGCGAGTTATATGTATGTCACCAGTATCTCAACTGAACCTCACCTGTATCTCACCTGTATCTATCTTGCGAGTTATATTTATGTCACCAGTATCTCAACTGAACCTCACCTGTATCTGTCCTATGAGTTATATGTATTTCACCAGTATCTCAACTGAACCTCATCTGTATCCTTCCTAAATCTTACCGGCAATGTACCTATATCCCACGTGTATCCATCTGCATCTTATCTGTATTCCACCTGTATCTGTCCTGCGAGTTATATGTATGTCACCAGTATCTCAACTGAACCTCACCTGTATCTCACCTGTATCTATCTTGCGAGTTATATTTATGTCACCAGTATCTCAACTGAACCTCACCTGTATCTGTCCTGCGAGTTATATGTTTTCCACCAGTATCTCAACTGAACCTCACCTGTATCTCACCTGTATCTATCTTGCGAGTTATATTTATGTCACCAGTATCTCAACTGAACCTCACCTGTATCTGTCCTGCGAGTTATATGTATTTCACCAGTATCTCAACTGAACCTCATCTGTATCTCACCTGTATCTGTCCTGCGAGTTATATGTATTTCACCAGTATTTCACCTGTATCTATCCTGCGAGTTATATGTATTTCACCAGTATCTCAACTGAACCTCATCTGTATCTCACCTGTATCTGTCCTGCAAATTATATGTATGTCACCTGTATCTCAACTGAACCTCATCTGTATCTCACCTGTATCTATGTATCTCACCAGTATCTCAACTGAACCTCACCTGTATCTCACCTGTATCTGTCCTGCGAGTTATATGTATTTCACCTGTATCTCAACTGAACCTCATCTGTATCTCACCTGTATCTGTCTTGCGAGTTATATGTATTTCACCTGTATCTCAACTGAACCTCATCTGTATCCTTCCTAAATCTTACCGGCAATGTACCTATATCCCACGTGTATCCATCTGAATCTTATCTGTATACCACCTGTATCTGTCCCATGAGTTATATGTATGTCACCAGTATCTCAACTGAACCTCACCTGTATCTCACCTGTATCTATCTTGCGAGTTATATTTATGTCACCAGTATCTCAACTGAACCTCACCCGTATCTGTCCTGCGAGTTATATGTATTTCACCAGTATCTCAACTGAACCTCATCTGTATCCTTCCTAAATCTTACCGGCAATGTACCTATATCCCACGTGTATCCATCTACATCTTATCTGTATTCCACCTGTATCTGTCCTGCGAGTTATATGTATGTCACCAGTATCTCAACTGAACCTCACCTGTATCTCACCTGTATCTATCTTGCGAGTTATATTTATGTCACCAGTATCTCAACTGAACCTCACCTGTATCTGTCCTGCGAGTTATATGTATTTCACCAGTATCTCAACTGAACCTCATCTGTATCCTTCCTAAATCTTACCGGCAATGTACCTATATCCCACGTGTATCCATCTGCATCTTATCTGTATTCCACCTGTATCTGTCCTGCGAGTTATATGTATGTCACCAGTATCTCAACTGAACCTCACCTGTATCTCACCTGTATCTATCTTGCGAGTTATATTTATGTCACCAGTATCTCAACTGAACCTCACCTGTATCTGTCCTGCGAGTTATATGTTTTCCACCAGTATCTCAACTGAACCTCACCTGTATCTCACCTGTATCTATCTTGCGAGTTATATTTATGTCACCAGTATCTCAACTGAACCTCACCTGTATCTGTCCTGGGAGTTATATGTATTTCACCAGTATCTCAACTGAACCTCATCTGTATCCTTCCTAAATCTTACCGGCAATGTACCTATATCCCACGTGTATCCATTTGCACCTTATCTGTATCTCACCCGCATCTCTCCTGTATATTACGTTTATCCCACCTATATATACGCCGTATCTTACCTGTATCCCACCCTTATATTACCTGTATCCCACCCTTATCTTACCTGTATCCAATCCTTATCTTACCTGTATCCCACCCTTATATTACCTGTATCCCATCCTTATCTTACCTGTATCCCACCCTTATATTACCTGTATCCCACCCTTATATTGCCTGTATCCCACCCTTATCTTACCTGTATCCCACCCTTATATTACCTGTATCCCACCCTTATATTACCTGTATTACACCCTTATCGTACCTGTATCACACCCTTATATTACCTGTATCACACCCTTATATGACCTGTATGCCTCCTGTATCTTATTTGTGTACCACCTTTACGTAACCTGTTTCACTTCTGTACCTTACCTGTTTATTACCTGTATCCCACCCATATATTACTTGTATCCCTCCTGTATCTTACCTGTATTTCACACGTATATAACCTGTATCCTTCATGTATCTTACCTGTATCTCACCTGTATCCCACCTGTATCTCACCTGTATCCCACCTGTATCTCACCTGTATCTTACCTATGTCCCATCACTATATTGCTTATGTCTTACATGTATCTTGCTTGTTTCTGATTTGTCTTACCTCTATTCTCCTCCTATATATTACCTGTATCTTGCAATTATTTTGTCTGTATCTCACCTGTATGAGATCTTACCTGTATCTCCCTTTTATAATAAATTAATCCCTGCTGTATTTACCTACATCCCTCCTGAATATCACCTGTATATTTCCTGTGTCTTAACTGTACCCCACCCTCATAACCTGCATCCCACCTGTATATTTCTTACCTGTACCCCACCTATAAGCTACCCGTATCTCACATGTGTCTTATCAGTATCTCGTCTGTAACGTACCTGTATCATACTTGTTTCTCTGCTGTATCTCACCAATGTCTTACCTGTATCCGTCCTGTATATTACCTGTACCTTACCTGTATCCCACCTGTGTATAACATCTGTATCTGATCTGCATCTTGCATTCACCTGCGCTTTACCTGTTCCTCAGCATCCGGGTTGGAATCCGAACCAGTCTGGTTTCCCCAACGACATCGCGCTGATCCAGTTCAACACCGACGTCGTAATGAACGCTGCCGTCAAGACCGCGAACCTCATCGACAACAACGACGACTTCGCTGGGGAAAGCAACTGCTTCATCACAGGCTGGGGGAAAACTGCTGGTATACTTAGTAAAGTCTGAGTAAAGACGATTAATATATCTAAATTACGTCTAAATTACTGGCAGGTGTCAATGCATGGTGTACAGTCAATATATGAGATAAAAGGGAAGTAACCTGTCAGCTAGTTTGAGCTCATCCTCACGGGTACCCATTGGCTGTGTCACTTCCCAGGTCTGGTAGTGCTATTGTTATTTTCAGGAAGTAACTCTGGTTTGCCGGATAAACTGCAGGAGGCTCCCACCAACGTCATCTCGTACAGTGAATGCCGCAGTCGCATCGGCAGTTCTGTCAGAGCTGACCACATCTGTGCCTTTGACTACAACGGCGTGACTGGGGGGTGTAACGTACGTAAAGTATACCTGTCTGAGACCATGTCGGGCATGCCGTGAAACTGTCGGGTATGTCCGTGACAATGTCGTGTATGTGCGTGACAACGTCGGGTATGTCTGTGACACTGTCGGGTATGTCCGTGACCATGTCGGGTATGTCTGTGACACTGTCGGGTATGTCCGTGACCATGTCGGGTATGTTCGTGACACGGGTATGTCCGAGCCATGTGAAGTATGGCGGTAAACCCACACTATGAAATAAGATTGAAACATGGATCTGGAGGGTGAGGTTCAGCAGTTCTGGACACACATGAACTATGCAGGAAAACATATAACGCTTCCTTCTTTCCAACTGCTGCCACCAGAGTTTTCACATCTGATTTTGTTACACTCCTGGTACAGTGCTATCGGGAAATGTCAATAGTCCGCTCTTGGCATCTCACAATAACGGCACGGTTACATGTTGTCAGGTGTATGAAATCATCAATAAGTGAAACATACTCAGCATAAAGAGTGAGGACTATTTTTATGGATATACAACTACTTTATTCTGTATAGGCGACGTTTCGACATATATTCTAATGTTGTTGTCAACGATAATACTTGCTTGACAACGATATTAGAATCTATGTCGAAACGTCGCTTATACAGAATAAAGAAGTCGTATATCCATAAAAATAGTCCTCATTCTTCATCTCCCCAACAGCTAGACTGCTAATCAAAGAAGTCATACTCAGCATAAGTGCGAGGAAGCTCGGGACATTTGAATAGTTCCTACTTCCATTAAAACGTTCTCCTGAATCTCTTCCAGGGAGACAGCGGAGGACCTCTTGTATGTCAAAAGAGCGGAAGTAACCAGTTCACCCTCTTGGGCGCTGCATCATGGGTAATCACTGGTTGCGTCACTACATACCCCACAGTGTATGCCCGTGCTTCCAGCTATCGTGAGTGGATCAGAAGCGAGTCTGGTGTATAAAACAACGAAATGCTGAGGAAATAAAATATTCCTTCATTGAGTACATTTTGTCTTGTGTCTGTCCAAATGGTGTGCCTGTCCTGGTGGTGTGCTTGTTAGTCTCAGAGGTGAAGCTGGTAGTTGAGGTAAAGCTGCTCTCCGTCGTCTCAGAGGTGAAGCTGGTAGTTGAGATAAAGCTGCTCTCTGTCGTCTCAGAGGTGAAGCTGGTACTTGAGATAAAGCTGCTCTCTGTCGTCTCAGAGGTGAAGTTGATAGTTGAGATAAAGCTGCTCTCTGTCGTCTCAGAGGTGAAGCTGATAGTCGAAATAAAACTGCTCTTCGTCACTTCCGAGACGATGCTGATAGTTGAGATAAAGCTGCCCTCCGTTGTCTCGGAGGTTAGGCTGATAGTTGAGATAGAGCAGGCCCTCCGTTGTCTCGGAGGTTAAGCTGGTAGTTGAGATAAAGCTGCTCTTTGTCACCTCCGAGACGATGCTGATGGTTGAGCTAACACTGCTCTCTGTTGTCTCAGAGGTGAAGTTGGTAGTGGAGATAAAGCTGCTCTCCGTTGTCTCATAGGTGAAGATGTTAGTTGAGATGGAGCTGCTCTCTGTCGTCTCAGAGGTAAAGCTGGTAGTTGAGATAAAGCTGCTCTCTGTCACCTACGCGACGATGCTGATGGTTGAGCTAACACTGCTCTCTTTCGTCTCAGAGGTGAAGTTGGTAGTGGAGATAAAGCTGCTCTCCGTTGTCTCATAGGTGAAGATGTTAGTGGAGATAGAGCTGCTCTCTGTCGTCTCAGAGGTAAAGCTGGTAGTTGAGATAAAGCTGCTCTCTGTTGTGTCGGAGGTGAAGCTGATAATTGAGAGAAAGCTGCTCTCTGTCACCTCTGAGACGATGCTGGTAGCTGATGTAAATCTGCTCTCTCTCATCTTCAAAATGATGTTGATAGTTGAGATAAAGCTGCTCTCTGTCAGCTCCGAGACGATGCTGGTAGTTGAGATAGAGCTGCTCTTTGTCATCTTCGAGACGATGCTGATAATTGAAATAAAGCTGTTCTCTGTCACCTCAGAGACGATGCTGATAGCTGAACTAAAGCTGCTCTCTGTCATCTTTGAGAAGATGCTGATAGTTGAGATAAAGCTGCTCTTTGTCGTATCAAAGGTGAAGCTGGTAGTTGAGATAAAGCTGCTCTCTGTCACCTCAGACACGATGCTGATAGCTGAAAAAAAGCTGCTCACTTTTACCTTCGAGACGATGCTGATAGTTGAGATAAAACTGCTTCCTGTCGTCTCAAAGGTAAAGCTGGTAGTTGAGATAAAGCAGCTCTCTGTTGTCTCGGAGGTGAAGCTGGTAGTGGATATAAAGCTGCTCTCTGTCACCTGCGAGACGATGCTAACTGTTGACATAAAGCTGCTCTCGTTCGTCTCAAAGGTGAAACTGGTAGTTGAGATAAAGCTGCTCTCTGTTGTCTCGGAGATGAAGCTGGTAGTTGAGATATAGTTGCTCTCTGTGACTTACGAGACGATGCTGATAGTTGAGATAAAGGTGCTTTCTATCACTACCAAGACCATGCTGATAGTTGAGATAAAGCTGCTCTCTGTCGTCTCGGAGGTGAAGCTGGTAGTTGAGATATAGCTGATCTAATTTGTCTCAGAGGTGAAGCTGACAGTTGAGATAAAGCTGCTCTCTGTCACCTACACGATGATGCTTATAGTTGAGCTAACACTGCTCTCTGTAGTCTCAGAGGTGAAGCTGGTAGTTGAGATGAAGCTGCTCTCTGTCACCTCCGAGACGTTTCTGATAGTTGACATAAAGCTGCTCTCTGTCATCTTAGAGACGCTGCTGATAGTTGAGATAAAGCTGCTCTCTGTCGTCTCAAAGGTGAAGCTGGTAGTTGAGATAAAGTTGCTTTCTATCACTTCCAAGACGATGTTGATATTTGAGATAGAGCTGCTCTCTGTCGTCTCAGAGGTGATGCTGGTAGTTGAGATAAAGTTGTTCTTTGTTGTCTCGGATGTGAAGCTGGTAGTGGAGTTAAAGCTGCTCTCTGTCGTCTCAAAGGTAAAGATGGTAGTTGAGATAAAGTTGCTCTTTGTTGTCTCGGATGTGAAGCTGGTAGTTGAGATAAAGCTGCTCTCTGTCGTCTCAAAGGTAAAGATGGTAGTTGAGATAAAGCTGCTCTCTGTTGTCTCGGATGTGAAGCTGGTAGTGGAGATAAAGCTGCTCTCTGTCGTCTCAAAGGTAAAGATGGTAGTTGAGATAAAGCTGCTCTCTGTTGCCTCGGATGTGAAGCTGGTAGTTGAGATAAAGCTGCTTTTTGTCACCTCAGAGACGATGCTAATAGTTGAGATAAAGCTGCTCTCTGTCGTCACAAAGGTTAAGATGGTAGTTGAGATAAAGCTGCTCTCTGTTGTCTCGGAGGTGAAGCTGGCAGTTGAGATATAGCTGCTCTCCTTTTTCTCAGAGGTGAATCTGATAGTTAAGATAAAGCTGCTGTCTGTCACCTACGCGATGGTACTTATGGTTGCGCTAACACTGCTCTCTGTTGTCTCAGAGGTGAAGCTGGTAGTTGAGATAAAGCTGCTCTCTGTTGTTTCAGAGGTGATGCTGGAAGTTGAGATAAAGCTGCTCATTGTCACCTCCGAGACGTTTCTGATAGATGAGATAAAGCTGCTCTATGTCTCCAACTCGATGATGCTTATGGTTGAGCTAGCACTGCTCTCTGTCGTCTCAGAGGTGAAGCTGGTAGTTGAGATAAAGCTGCTCTCTGTTTTGTCGGAGATGAAGCTGGTAGTTGAGATAATTCTTCTCTCTGTCGTCTCAGAGGTGAAGCTGATAGTTTAGATAAAGCTGCTCTCCGTTGTCTCATAGGTGAAGCTGGTAGTTGAGATAGAGCTGCCTTCTGTCCCCTCAGAGGTGAAGCTAGTACTTGAGATAAAGCTGCTCTCTATTGTGTCGGAGGTTAAACTGGCACTTGAGAGAAAGCTGCTCTCTGTCACCTCCGAGACGATGCTGATAGTTGATGTAAATCTGCTCTCTGTCATGTTCACAATGATGTTGATAGTTGAGATAAAGCTGTTCTCCGATGTCTCACAGGTTAAGTTAGTAGTTGAGATATAGCTGCTCTGTGTCCCCTCAGAGGTGAGGCTGGTATTTTTGATAAAGCTGCTCTCTGTCGTCTCAGAGGTGAAGTTGGTAGTTGAGATAAAACTGCTCACTGTCACCTCCGAGAGGATGCTGATAGTTGAGATAAAGCTGTTCTCTGTCATCTTCGAGACGATGCTAATAGTTGAAATAGAGCTGCTCTCTGTCATGTACGAGACGATGCTGATAGTTGAGATAAAGCTGCTCTCTGTCACCTCCGAGACGATGCTGATAGTTGAGATAAATCTGCTCTCTGTCGTCTCAGAGGTGTATGTGGTAGTTGAGATAAAGCTGCTTTCTGTCGTCTTAGAGGTGAAGCTGGTAGTTGAGATAAAGCTGCTCTCTGTCACCTACGATGCGATATTGATAGTTGAGATAAGGATGCTCTCTGTCACCTCCGTGATGATGCTGTTAGTTGAGATAAAGCTGTTCTCTGTCGTCTCAAAGGTGAAGCTGGTAATTGAGATAAAACAGCTCTCTGTCATCTCCGAGGTAATGCTTGTAGTTGAGATAAAGCTGCCTCTCACCTCAGAGACCGTGCTAATAGCTAAAATAAAGGTCCTCTCTGTCATCTTCGAGACGATGCTGATATTTGAGATAAAGCTGCTCTCTGTCACCTCCGAGACGATGCTGATAGTTAAGATAAAGCTGCTCTCTGTCGTCTCAGAGGTGAAGCTGGTAGTTGAGATAAAGCTGCTCTTTGTCGTCTCAGAGGTGAAGCTGGTAGTTTAGATAATGCTGCTCTTTGTCGTCTCAGAGGTGAAGCTGGTAGTTGAGATAAAGCTGCTCTTTGTCGTCTTAGAGGTGTAGCTTGTAGTTGAGATAAAGCTGCTCTCTGTTGTGTCGGATTTTAAGCTGGTACTTGAGAGAAAGCTGCTCTCTGTCACCTCCGAGACGATGCTGATATATGAAATATAGGTTCCCTCTGTCTTCTTCAAAACGATTCTGATAGTTGATAAAGCCTCTCTCTCTCACCTCCGAGACGATGCTGAAGGTTGAGTTAACACTGCTCCCTGTTGTCTCAGAGGAGAAGCTGGTAGTTGAGATAAAGCTCCTCTCTGTTGTGTCGGAGGTGAAGCTGGTAGTTGAGATAATTCTCCTCTCTGTTGTCTCAGAGGTGAAGCTGGTAGTTTAGATAGAGCTGCTTTTTGTCGTCTCAGAGGTGAAGCTGGTACTTGATATAAATATGCTCTCTGTTGTGTCGGAGGTGAAGCTGGTACTTGAGAGAAAGCTGCTCTCTGTCACCTCCGAGACGATACTGACAGTTGAGATAAAGCTGCTTCCTGTCGGCTCAGGTGAAGCTGGTAGTTGAGATAAAGCTGCTATCTTTCACGTACGAGACGATACTGGTAGTTGAGATAAAGCTGCTGTCTGTCACCTTCGAGACGGTGCTGATAGTTAAGATACAGCTGTTCTCTGTCATCTTTGAGACGATGCTGATAGTTGAGATAAATCTGCTCTCTGTCGTCTCAAAGGTGAAGCTGGTAGTTAAGATAAAGCTGCTCTCTGTCACCTACGAGACGATGCTGATAGTTGAAATAAAGCTGCTTCCTGTCGTTTGAGGTGAAGCTGGTAGTTGAGATAAAGCTGCTCTCTTTCACGTACGAGACGATGCTGGTGGTTGAGATAAAGCTGCTCTCTGCTATGTTCGAGACGAAGCTGATAGTTGAAATAAATCTCCTCTCTGTCATCTTCGAGACGATGCTGATAGTTAAGATAAAGCTGCTCTCTGTCGTCTCAGAGACGAAGCTTGTAGTTGAGATAAAGCTGCTCTTTGTCACCTCCGAGGCGATGCTGATAGTTGAGATAAAGCTGCTCGCTGTCACCACCGAGACGATGCCGATAGTTAAGATAAAGCTGCTCTTTGTCGTCTCAGAGGTGAAGCTGGTAGTTGAGATAAAGCTGCTCTCTGTCATCTCAGAGGAGAAGCTGGTAGTTGAGATAAAGCTCATCTCTGTTGTGTCGGAGGTGAGGCTGATAGTTGAGATAAAGCTGCTCTCTGTGGTCTCAGAGGTGAAGCTGGTAGTGAAGATAAAGTTGCTCTCTGTCGTCTCAGAGGTGAAGCTGGTAGTGAAGATAAAGCTGCTCTCCGTTGTCTCAGAGGTGAAGCTGGTAGTTGAGATAGAGCTGCTCTTTGTCGTCTCAGAGGTGAAGCTGGTAGTTTAGATAATGCTGCTCTTTGTCGTCTCAGAGGTGAAGCTGGTAGTTGAGATAAAGCTGCTCTTTGTCGTCTTAGAGGTGTAGCTTGTAGTTGAGATAAAGCTGCTCTCTGTTGTGTCGGATTTTAAGCTGGTACTTGAGAGAAAGCTGCTCTCTGTCACCTCCGAGACGATGCTGATATATGAAATATAGGTTCCCTCTGTCTTCTTCAAAACGATTCTGATAGTTGATAAAGCCTCTCTCTCTCACCTCCGAGACGATGCTGAAGGTTGAGTTAACACTGCTCCCTGTTGTCTCAGAGGAGAAGCTGGTAGTTGAGATAAAGCCTCTCTGTTGTGTCGGAGGTGAAGCTGGTAGTTGAGATAATTCTCCTCTCTGTTGTCTCAGAGGTGAAGCTGGTAGTTTAGATAGAGCTGCTTTTTGTCGTCTCAGAGGTGAAGCTGGTACTTGATATAAATATGCTCTCTGTTGTGTCGGAGGTGAAGCTGGTACTTGAGAGAAAGCTGCTCTCTGTCACCTCCGAGACGATACTGACAGTTGAGATAAAGCTGCTTCCTGTCGGCTCAGGTGAAGCTGGTAGTTGAGATAAAGCTGCTATCTTTCACGTACGAGACGATACTGGTAGTTGAGATAAAGCTGCTGTCTGTCACCTTCGAGACGGTGCTGATAGTTAAGATAAAGCTGTTCTCTGTCATCTTTGAGACGATGCTGATAGTTGAGATAAATCTGCTCTCTGTCGTCTCAAAGGTGAAGCTGGTAGTTAAGATAAAGCTGCTCTCTGTCACCTACGAGACGATGCTGATAGTTGAAATAAAGCTGCTTCCTGTCGTTTGAGGTGAAGCTGGTAGTTGAGATAAAGCTGCTCTCTTTCACGTACGAGACGATGCTGGTGGTTGAGATAAAGCTGCTCTCTGCTATGTTCGAGACGAAGCTGATAGTTGAAATAAATCTCCTCTCTGTCATCTTCGAGACGATGCTGATAGTTAAGATAAAGCTGCTCTCTGTCGTCTCAGAGACGAAGCTTGTAGTTGAGATAAAGCTGCTCTTTGTCACCTCCGAGGCGATGCTGATAGTTGAGATAAAGCTGCTCGCTGTCACCACCGAGACGATGCCGATAGTTAAGATAAAGCTGCTCTCCGTCGTCTCAGAGGTGAAGCTGGTAGTTGAGATAAAGCTGCTCTCTGTCATCTCAGAGGAGAAGCTGGTAGTTGAGATAAAGCTCATCTCTGTTGTGTCGGAGGTGAGGCTGATAGTTGAGATAAAGCTGCTCTCTGTGGTCTCAGAGGTGAAGCTGGTAGTGAAGATAAAGTTGCTCTCTGTCGTCTCAGAGGTGAAGCTGGTAGTGAAGATAAAGCTGCTCTCCGTTGTCTCAGAGGTGAAGCTGGTAGTTGAGATAGAGCTGCTTTTTGTCGTCTCAGAGGTGAAGCTGGTACTTGATATAAAGATGCTCTCTGTTGTGTCGGAAGTGAAGCTGGTACTTGAGAGAAAGCTACTCTCTGTCACCTCCGAGACGATGCCGATAGTTAAGATAAAGCTGCTCTTTGTCGTCTCAGAGGTGAAGCTGGTAGTTGAGATAAAGCTGCTCTCTGTCATCTCAGAGGAGAAGCTGGTAGTTGAGATAAAGCTCATCTCTGTTGTGTCGGAGGTGAGGCTGATAGTTGAGATAAAGCTGCTCTCTGTGGTCTCAGAGGTGAAGCTGGTAGTGAAGATAAAGTTGCTCTCTGTCGTCTCAGAGGTGAAGCTGGTAGTGAAGATAAAGCTGCTCTCCGTTGTCTCAGAGGTGAAGCTGGTAGTTGAGATAGAGCTTCTCTTTGTCGTCTCAGAGGTGAAGCTGGTAGTTTAGATAATGCTGCTCTTTGTCGTCTCAGAGGTGAAGCTGGTAGTTGAGATAAAGCTGCTCTTTGTCGTCTTAGAGGTGTAGCTTGTAGTTGAGATAAAGCTGCTCTCTGTTGTGTCGGATTTTAAGCTGGTACTTGAGAGAAAGCTGCTCTCTGTCACCTCCGAGACGATGCTGATATATGAAATATAGGTTCCCTCTGTCTTCTTCAAAACGATTCTGATAGTTGATAAAGCCTCTCTCTCTCACCTCCGAGACGATGCTGAAGGTTGAGTTAACACTGCTCCCTGTTGTCTCAGAGGAGAAGCTGGTAGTTGAGATAAAGCTCCTCTCTGTTGTGTCGGAGGTGAAGCTGGTAGTTGAGATAATTCTCCTCTCTGTTGTCTCAGAGGTGAAGCTGGTAGTTTAGATAGAGCTGCTTTTTGTCGTCTCAGAGGTGAAGCTGGTACTTGATATAAATATGCTCTCTGTTGTGTCGGAGGTGAAGCTGGTACTTGAGAGAAAGCTGCTCTCTGTCACCTCCGAGACGATACTGACAGTTGAGATAAAGCTGCTTCCTGTCGGCTCAGGTGAAGCTGGTAGTTGAGATAAAGCTGCTATCTTTCACGTACGAGACGATACTGGTAGTTGAGATAAAGCTGCTGTCTGTCACCTTCGAGACGGTGCTGATAGTTAAGATAAAGCTGTTCTCTGTCATCTTTGAGACGATGCTGATAGTTGAGATAAATCTGCTCTCTGTCGTCTCAAAGGTGAAGCTGGTAGTTAAGATAAAGCTGCTCTCTGTCACCTACGAGACGATGCTGATAGTTGAAATAAAGCTGCTTCCTGTCGTTTGAGGTGAAGCTGGTAGTTGAGATAAAGCTGCTCTCTTTCACGTACGAGACGATGCTGGTGGTTGAGATAAAGCTGCTCTCTGCTATGTTCGAGACGAAGCTGATAGTTGAAATAAATCTCCTCTCTGTCATCTTCGAGACGATGCTGATAGTTAAGATAAAGCTGCTCTCTGTCGTCTCAGAGACGAAGCTTGTAGTTGAGATAAAGCTGCTCTTTGTCACCTCCGAGGCGATGCTGATAGTTGAGATAAAGCTGCTCGCTGTCCCCACCGAGACGATGCCGATAGTTAAGATAAAGCTGCTCTCCGTCGTCTCAGAGGTGAAGCTGGTAGTTGAGATAAAGCTGCTCTCTGTCATCTCAGAGGAGAAGCTGGTAGTTGAGATAAAGCTCATCTCTGTTGTGTCGGAGGTGAGGCTGATAGTTGAGATAAAGCTGCTCTCTGTGGTCTCAGAGGTGAAGCTGGTAGTGAAGATAAAGTTGCTCTCTGTCGTCTCAGAGGTGAAGCTGGTAGTGAAGATAAAGCTGCTCTCCGTTGTCTCGGAGGTGAAGCTGGTAGTTGAGATAGAGCTGCTTTTTGTCGTCTCAGAGGTGAAGCTGGTACTTGATATAAAGATGCTCTCTGTTGTGTCGGAAGTGAAGCTGGTACTTGAGAGAAAGCTACTCTCTGTCACCTCCGAGACGATGCTGATAGTTGAGATAAAGCTGCTCTCCGTTGTCTCAGAGGTTACGTTGGTTGTTGAGATAAAGCTGCTCTCTGTCCTCTCAGAGGTGAAGCTGGTACTTGATATAAAGATGCTCTCTGTTCTATCAGAGGTGATGCTGGTAGTTGAGATAAAGCTGTTCTCTGTCACCTCAGAGACGATGCTGATAGTTGAGATAAAGCTGCTCTCTGTCGTCTTAGAGTTGAAGCTGATAGTTGAGATAAAGCTGCTCTCCGTTGTCTCCGAATCGAAGCTGATAGTTGAGATAAAAGTGGTCTTTGCCGTCTCCTGGGTGAAACTGACAGTTGAGATAAAGCTGCCCTCTGTTGTCGCAGGATGTGATGACAGGATTTGGTGAAGCTCTTTCTACCTTCAGTCGGGGATAACCTGGAATCTCTTCGTTTGGGTATTACTACCACCAATGTATTTTCCAACTTTATACCTACGCTGGGAAATGAACGTTTCCGACAGCAGCCAAATGACCAGCGGGTGTTTCATGTCACGTACTGGATGCGTTGATATCCCATCCAAACTTGTTATAAAACTTACTTCTGTATTTCACAAATATAATGAATGACATATATCATTACAACAACCTAAATTATACATTATGTCAGCTTTGAGAAATACCTCAAAGGTCACATGCAACGTAAAACACAACTTTGCAGATTCTGATACCTTTCGGTATGGACTTACAGATACAAATCATCAAAAATGCAAATTCAACTTACAAAGTTGAAAAATAACGCGATGAAAAAACCCCGCGTGTTCAAATGATTCACTAAATTCACCCCACCTTGGGGTGAAAATTGGTTTCAACAGCTGTGCTGCGCTGCGCCGAGCTGCGCTCATAGCGCATGTGCAGTGAATATGTTCGCGCAGCTTGGAAGTGGGATGTCCGTATTATAAGGTCGTGAGCAGGAGTAGTCTAATAAAACAAATAATAAATAACCTACTCGTTACATAAAAGAACCTTGTTAGGATGTAGATCTACTCAGCTATATGTCAACCAGTGAGGCGTTCAAACCTTCGCTGGCCGTGAGTACTCGGTGAAGGCTTTGATGTGAGTTATTTTTCTAATGTTTTGTTGATATTTCACAGGCGCGAGCTTTTTATATGTTGTGACAGTAGCTAGATTACCGAGTTTACTGTATATATTATTTTATTTGTCTATTTCACCACACGTTCTTCTTACCGAGTCACTTTCTCAGTTCGATACTTAAAAGCAATGTCATTATTTAGCATTGACAGAATTTCTAACTGTCACAGACAAAACTCAATGTCTATTTTATTGACACCTATGTGTCTGCCTGCCTGTCTGCTAATGACAACATGCAACTCCGATCACTGACCACATGCAATTTGAACTTAACACCTATCAGGCTATACACCATAAACAAAACGCATTGGTTTATGGCTCGTGCACCCGAGTTCTGTCTCTGCCACATTATGTAATTTTACACAGGCAGGCAGGTGTGATACTTGTACACATGACATGTTATGATGTCTGTTGATTGCAAAATGTTATACACAAAAAATGAGCATGTGTCATGTTTCATGCTCTTTTTATGAAAGTTATTTAGGATGTATTTTGGTAGGGGTGGATGTCAGCCTTAATGTAGGAACAGATCTCCCAAACACACCATTTCATTTTTGTGCAAAACAGGCATTTGGTTCTCAATGTGCTATATAAAGCCTTGTTAAGTTGAATTTAACACAGTTGAACTTCATACTGTCAAGGGAGATCTAAGGAGAAGGCCTTTTTAACTTGGGGAAAATTGCTCCCACTTCTGGTTTTCGTAGTCAAGAGTTCGTCAAGATATAAGGCAGTACTACACTATTCTGGACGACAACAAACAGAGATGTTACACATCGTATACAGGATTACATCCATGGACTATTTTGTTGTGGACATTCTGTGTTTATGGACCATCAGTGAACTTGTGTGTACTTTTGACCATTGTTTGCCTCGCCATCTGAATGTGGTTGGATGTATATTTGTGCTGATTAGTACAAGATGCCCTGATTACCTATATTATCTTGTGGAGAATGTCACTGTTTCATGGTACTGTTTGTGAAGTAAGGCCGTAATGTAATAAACACATTTGGCCTAAACAGGTTTTATTTTCCATTTGTAATATGTGCTGAATATCCATTGGGTCTACTTTTGATTTGTGACAGCATGTATTTACTGAACCTAACATCTCTATATACATTACTATACATATATTACTATTGGTCAAGCAGAGAGATGTTGCTAGCCACATACTATTATCGATATCCATTAAAACAGAAACTTGTACATTTTATGCTAACAGGAAAT